GTGCCCCCATCCATGGGGTCCCCCATCAGCTGGGGCTGTAGCCCCCAGCTTGGCTCTGCCTGTGGGTTTGGGCACAAATATCTCTTGGAGACCAGTGCTGCTGGATGTCCCTGCTGGTCCCACATTTCCAGCTGGATTCTCCCCAGGGGTGGCTGCTGTGCGAGGCTCCCAGTGGCCCCGAGCCCCCACAGCCCTCCCCGGGCTGGGACCAGGATGAAGCTGCTGTGGGGAAGATGCAGGGCAAGGGCGAGCTGCCAGCACTGGCTCGCACGGCTGGGACTGCCAGGAGGAGAGGTGTCCCGTGGCCCCTGGGAACACCACTGGACAGCTCGGGGTGTTGGCAGGTTTTTACGGCATACCTGGCACCTTCCCCAGTGATTCTGGCAGTCAGCGTGGGTTCGTGGTTTGTAGTACGTTTCTAATTAAACCTGGAAATGAGCAAGGTGCCCTGGTTGTTCGTGCTGCCCCGGACATGGGGCTGCTGCACCCAGGGGCTCAAGGGGGCTGGAGAGGTAGAGGGTGCTGGGACAGCGTCTCCATCACCACCAGCTCCTGGCTGTTCCCGCACTGGTTGTGGCTGCCTGCTCCATCCTGGCCCGTCACACTCCTTGCTGCCCCCCTGATCCCCCTCTGTGCCTCTTCTGCCCATAGGCCACCCCCATCCCCCTGGCTCTGGAGGGGGCTGCAGCACCCAAGGCTTGTCCCCGGGGGTCTGGTCCTCACACCCACCATCTCCATGCCCTGCCTACGGGGTCACCTCCCACCTCTGTCCAGGGCAGGACATGGCCAGGCGGGCCAGCAGCTGCCAGCAGGTCCAGCACCAGCTCCAGCACTGGCCAGCTCCAGGGTCCTGCTCCAGGTGGGTGCTGGTGGCCTGTCCTGGCACTACCCAGTGCACCCAGCGCTGCCACCATCCCACTGGCATCCAACTCGGGGAACGGGGTCACCCTGGCACCCTCTGCCCCTTGCTGGAGACGGTCCCTCCTGGGCTGGGTCTGCCAGGTGCCGGCTGAGTCAATGAATAAAATAAGCCCCCAAATAAAGCCCAGTAATGTGGGTGTAATTTTCCATTGATAGTTGAGTACCTGCGGGGACGCGGCACTTCCATCTCAGCTGCTATTTTTTGTCATGTAGTAATGCGTCTGCGGAGATAATTGCGCCGCTCCCTCGGCAGCGGAGGCAGGAAAAGGCAGCGAGCGCCTGGACTTTCTTCTTCTCGCTGCCGGAGAACGAGCCCACGCCTTCCCCCGGCTGCTGCTGGCTCTGCCCCGCCCCGGGGATGCTGCCGCCAGGGGCCTGAAAGGCTGCCGGGGGGTTCGTGGGGGGGGGGGTAACCCCCTCGGTTTG